TCAAATTATAGAACTATATATTCATAATTATGAACAATTTTTAAACTGTGCCTACTTTGCAAGGTGGCCACGGTGCCACAGCATAATTTGTCGAGTCAATAATACTAAAAAAAAAAAAGAGTCTTTGGACTTCTCAATACTTGCCCACATTGATGGGCAAGCAATTATATGTTTGTAAGAAGAGCAATGATCCTCTTATATAGAGGAGCTCAAGAGCTCCTCTTTCTAAACATTTTCAATGTGGGATCAAAATGATCCCACATCATTTAAAAAGGGGAGCCACCTTTGTCTTTTTTTTTTTCTTTTTTTTTTTAATTTTAATTTTAATTTGTATATAGTTTTGTTTGGATTATTATTATTATTATTATTATTATTATTATTATTATTATTATTATTATTATTATTATTATTATTATTATTTATCAATTAATAGATTTTATTTAATTTACTTTTGAGATTTACTTACCAAATAAGCTTTACTACAAAAGTTTGGGGGGGAAAATGGATTAGGATGATTTTGTTTTTAATTATATATATATATAGATATAGATAAATTGATTCTATTTCATTTTTTAAACAAAATATTCCTTAAAGATTAATAGTAAAATGAAGTTAACTTATTAATAACCGATTCTATTACATTTTTTTACGCAGAATTTTTCTTAAAGATTAATATAGTAAAATAAGGCTCAATTTTTTATGCAAAATCTTTTCTAAAAGATTAATAGTATCTTAATGATTCTTTTTCTTATACTGCTTATTGATTCTTTTCCATTTTTCAGAGTGTAGAAAAAAATCACATGGCTAACATTTTCTTCCATTCATTTCTATTTTTCCATATTATTATTAATATCCTTCCCAATATTATTCTATATTGTTTTGGCGTACGGCTTCCTTCCATTCATTTCTATTTTTTCATATTATTATTAATTGTTTAGGCGGGAACTTGTAAATGAGGATATTGTTTTTATTAATTAATATAGAATATAGATTACCAATTAAAATTAAAGTTTTTATTATAATTGAACAATAATATTACCAATTATTATTTGAAGATTTTGTAAAACAGTAAGTAAAATTGTATTACGGATAGTAAAATATATGTACTTTAATTTAAATTTAAATTATTAATAATTAATTCTATTTTATTTTTAACAAAATCTTCCTTAAAGATTAATAGTAAAATAAAGCTAAATTATTAATAACCGATTCTATTACATTTTTTACGCAGAATTTTTCTTAAAGATTAATATAGTAAAATTAAGCTAAATTATTAATAACCGATTTTATTACATTTTTTTACGCAGAATTTTTCATAAAAATTAATAGTAAAATAAGACTAAATTAGTAGTAACCAATTCGTTTTCTATTTTTTACGCAAAATCATCCGTAAAAGATTAATAGTAAAATATCTTAATGATTATTTTCCTTATACTGCTTATTGATTCTTTTTCATTTTTCAGAGTGTAGAAAACATTTACATGAATAATATTTCCTTCCATTATTTTCCATATTTACATATTATTATTAATTTTCTTTTCAATATTATTATTAATTGTTTGGGAGTACGACTTCCTTCCATTCTTTTTCATTTTTTTTCATATTATTATTAATTGTTTAGGCGGGAGCTTGTAAAGGATGATTTGTTTTTATTAATTAATATAGAATATAAATATAGATTAATATAGAATATACATTACCAATTAAAATAAGTTTTTTTTTAAAAAAAAAAATTATATTGAACAATAATATTACCAATTATTATTATTATTATTATTATTATTATTATTATTATTATTATTATTATTATTATTATTATTGGTTCACATAGTTGAATTATTTATTTTTTATTTAATTATTATAAACATAAATGATATTTTACTAATTAATTTATGATATTTATCAAATTTTATTTTTTAAATATAGTGTTTTATCCATGCATTGCACGGAATTTTATTTTTGTTATTATGAATTTAAAATAAAAATAGAAAAAATAAAAAGATTCTCTAATATATTCTCTAATCATGTACATATTTAGATAAATTTATAGAAAAAATTCATATAATTAAGTTGATTTATTCCAAATTGTATTTCATATGTATATATGAAATTTAAAAATATGAATAATAAAAACTAAGGGAATTGTATTTAGAAATCAATAAAAAAATGTAAATTCTAAATTTTGTATGAATAAATAAATATTCTAATCGGACGCATATCCTTATATGATTGTATAATACTTTGTATATACACATAATATTTATTAAATAGGTATATAGGAAAGTCCTATAATATAATTTCATTAATTATAATTTATATTGATAGATTTATACTTAAAAAATTATATTTAGAAATTTAAAGAGTATATGTATGTATATTTAAAAAAAAATTATAAATATTCATGTTTTGTTAATTTTATAATTTCATTTCTTTAATTATATTTCATATTTTATTAATTATAATTTAATGAAAGTGTCACAAATATGTCTACGGAAGAAATCATATATTTCTCAATTTCATTAATTATATTAATTATTATTACCAAATATTGTGACAATTACCACAATAATTTCATCAATTATAACATTTATTTTCTTCCAATATTTAAATACATTACCATAAAATTACCATAATAATAACACAAAATAAGGAAAGAAAAATTATGAGAATAATCTATATCTATATATAATTAAAAGTAAAATCCTCCTAACCAAGTTTATCCCCAAAACTTAGGGGCATATATATATAAATTGCATATTTACCATATATGCATATTTTGTGTCTATATAGTATAATTTTTGGTATCAAACATTTGAATGGTAATAAACGGGGGAAAATGTCAACATACAAATGATAATTCTTTTATTACTATACTAATTTTAATGGTAATTCATTAATTACTATATTTCACGATGAGTCAGCCTGTTCATGCCCATCATTTTTCAAGAAACATAGAAATAAAATAGTCAATTATTAAAATTGTTTATGATTTCATTTTTAATTTTTGTCTAAAGTTAAAGATATATATTTTCGGCGATTATAACATTTTTTGTATTAACTGAAAATTTAAAAGTTTTACCTTTTTTGAGATCTCTTACCATTTTATAATTTCAATATTATGCGATTTTGAACTCATCCATGGTGTACAAATACACTCTATATGACCATACAAAATCCATTGAGGAGACATTTGCACTGAAGAGTAAACTTCTCCTTAAACTAAATTCGGGTGTCAAGAAAATCTCCGTTTTCATTCATAATGATATTCCTATTGCTGAGTCTCTCATCACTGTTCGGTACATCAATGATGTCTAGATTTCTGGGTCTTCCATTGTTCCCTTTGATCCTTATGATTGTGCCATTGCCAGTATTTTTTTATTTGGGTTCAGTACAACGTGAATTTTTTTGGGAGGTTTCTCTAATTAAATTTTTGGTTAAAAATTTATATTTCCTTTGTATTTTATTTTATTACTTTTTTATTTATTTATACTAATATGTGAATGGAGTAACACAAAATCTGAAATTGTATTTGTTATTTATTCCTTCTTTTTAAATAATCATTATTTTTGTGTTTTACAAAAATTTAGAAAAAATCAAATATAGCGAGATTTTTAATAGGTTAAACAAACACTCTACTCAATGATATATATAAAAATGCTGTGAAATGCTGTAAAATGAACTCTGCTTGGTAAAAAAAAAACATAGAAACTTGAATGACATGTACAAATCTCGAAGTCAACATACTAACTCTAAGTTTCAGAAAATCTTACAAAATTATCAAAATTACCGTCTTTATCATCCTCGACCGCATCTCTACAATCTTCCATAAAAACTAAACCAATAGGGTTCTGTTATAAATGCTCTTCCTCCTCAATTTCCTTTTGTTGAAGCAGAGCCTCCTTAAGTATCTTCAAACTCATACCAAATGATATAAACTGCAAAACATATTGAAGTATGTGAGAATATAGTTAGAAAAATGTAGAAAATTCATACAAAAAGAAAGCAGAGAGATGAGTCTGAGATTCTTTGATTGAAGAAGCCATTGTATTTATAGGTAGAAAATACTAATTCAAAAGGAAAGTGTAATAATTTATTTATTTAAGGGAAAGTATAATAATTTATTTATTTAAGGTAATAACATTATTTATTTATTTATTTATTAATTTATTTATTTTCCATTTGACATTTACTTACCAAATAAGTTTTACTACAAAAGTTTTGGAGGAAAAATTTGTTAGGAGAATTTTACTTTTATATATATATATATATATATATATATATATATATATATATATATATATATATATATATATATATATATATATAGATGTTCAGCGAATCAGTTGCCCCCCACACTTGCGAATAGTTATGGTTCTCAGTCTGTTTTAATTGGGAGGATTCTCCCTGAACTCTTTGTTACATTTGTTTTTATTAATGCATTATTAGTTTTCCTTTCAAAAAAAAAAAAGGTTTGTATTCTTGATTATTTATTATTTATTGCAAGTCCAATGGGCCTCGCAAATGGATATACATGGGCCCAACAGTTTACAGTAACAAATTTCAACATACATGACTTAAAACATTAGGTCCACTTGTACAAATGAGCCTGTCCATTATACAAAACATTTCATGTTGATATTGTTTTAGTATTGGCCAATAAAACGGTTAAAATGGGCTTAGTCTCATAGATCAATCCACCTCTAAACCTATTGAGGTAGAGGATAAGTTGGGGATTTATAGGCCCATCTCGCCTTGCCAAACTGGAGGCATGATGAGTTGGCTTAAATCACTGATTCAGTAAATAATATTTGAAAAAAGATATCAATATTCAAATTTTGACAGCTCATAGTAGATACGGATATTTAATTATGTCTGCTGATCCATCGAGTCGAGCCCCCAAAATGCCTATTGTACAATTGTGGAAAGATTTACAAACACTCATCAATGATTGTAGTATTCAATACAAACCAAAAAAAAATGTTTATAAAAACACATGCCGTAATCAAGAACAAACGGCGTTAAATCTACGGAAGCACCCTGGGAAAGGGCAAAAATGGGAAGCTGACGCCAATAAAAAACGAAAAGATCACGGAAGATGAAGCCGGTGACGCAACCTCGACGGGCCCAGAAGCTGGCGCGTGGACGACAGAGTGAGTGAAAACACGACATTTGTCTCGCCACCTCTCACTCTCACCCGCCAACTCTGCACCCAACCTTTTCAAACAATCTTTTCATTTTGTTTTAACACATAAATATCGTTGTCGGATTATTATTATCTTAATACTGGTAGTTTTGAATTTCTTGCTACCTCTTTTCATCTCAACCTACCCTGTTTCTCTCTCCAACAAAACTGCCACCTCCTCCATGTAGAGAGAGAGAGAAGAAGAAGAAGAAGAAGAAGAAGAAGAAGAAAACAGTGATAGAAATCTGCAGTGCAGTGATGATGGAGACAAAAGGCGGGAAGATGATGATGAGTTATAAAGGGTGTGGGTATGAATATTCGTTCAAGATTCTGTTGATAGGAGATTCTGGTGTGGGCAAGAGTAGTCTGCTTCTAAGCTTCATTTCTCATCACTATCCTCTCCAAAATCCCTCCCCCACCATTGGTAAGCCTTAAACCACTCAAATACTTGGACATTTTCTGGGTTTTATTTTTTGATATATAGCTTCATATACTCTATGAACTTTGATCATATAATCGTTTAAAAATGATGCATTATTGATTTTAAAGAATTATAGTTCTTGGAATATCTAGAGACTAGAGAGCAGTATCTATGTGCTGTGTAATTTGTTTGTGTGTTTTAAGACGTAGAGTGAAAGTGGTTGATTGCTTTAAATTTAAGGGGGCTGCTGATGAGTCCTTTTGAATTTTGATGGTTGGTAGGACTAGTTAAATTGGTTTAATTACTTGTAGTGTGGAAACGTATATAGATTAGAATGTTGATTAGGAGAGGTTTGTTTAGTTAGTCAACATAACAAAAAACTTGCCCGTGAGCTCTTCATAGGTTATATCTAATGTGGTGGACTACTGGGTCACCGTGATTACGCTTTCACTATCTTGTCTCCTTTAGTTAAGGAGTGGGTGTGGAGCCATTGGGGCGAGGATATTTTGCCTTTTAACATAACAAAAAGTTAAGAACTTTGATTCTTTCCATACAAAATCATTGACATCAAACATCCTATATATTGGTCTTCTTGATTTAAGCCGGTCAACTATGAATAATAGACTGATTTATCTTCTTGTGGTTAGAGCCATAAGGCCAGTTATCCAGTGCATACTTTCGAATAGTGATTTATTGTCGAAGTTTAACTTTGGCCATGTTTAGGTGTGGACTTCAAGATCCGGGTGCTAACCATTGGTGGGAAAAGATTGAAGTTGACGATTTGGGATACAGGTGAGTAATATATGAAACCATTATATTATATTGGCTCAAAAGTGGTATCCCATTTAGTTGTTTTGTCACTGGCCTGCATATATATATGCAGGTGGACAGGAGAGGTTTGGGACATTGATAAGCTCTTATTATAGAGGGGCACATGGAATTATACTTGGTAAGCCCACCACCATCATTTCTACTCAATTCCAGACAACTTTCTTAATTCCTACAACTTTGTCATCACACTTTCCTACAACATATGACCCATGTTCTATCTATGTCTGCTTTTGATTGCTTGTTTTAGTTTATGATGTCACGAGGCGGGACACCTTTACAAACTTATCGAAAATCTGGAGGAAGGAGATAGAGCGTTACTCCACAAATCCAGAGTGCATCAAGATGCTAGTCGGAAACAAAGTTGACAGGGTGAGTTGAATTGCCAATCTCGGATGGTTAGTGTATGTAATTATGTATCGTATCGTCTAGTTAATGACTTATTGGATTTTCAGGATAACGAAAGGGCTGTGAGTAGAGAGGAAGGAATGGCGTTTGCACAGAAACACAAATGCCTGTTTCTTGAATGTAGTGCCAAGACCAGAGAAAATGTGCCCCAGTGTTTTCGAGATCTTACTCTCAAGGTACACTATATATATAGCACGATTCAACACCCGATTTTTTCTTAGAAATGTCTGCCAATCGGTTTAGTTTGCTTTCGTTTTTTCGTAACAGATACTAGAGGTACCAAGCTTGTTAGAGAAAGGATCCAATGTTGTGAAGAACCAAATTTTGAAACAAAAGGAAATCGACGAAAACAAAAGCAAATGTTGTTCGTGATTCGACTTTAATGTGTGATGCAGACTACTGTTTAGAAGAGGGAAACAAAATGATCCTCCATTTTTGCTGGGGAAGAAGATATATATCTAAAGAAGACAAAAACTTTTGGGCTTGGATGTTCAGATCTGACCTGTTTCTCTCCTGAAACATCATGGGATAAGATCATTTCAGGGAACAGAGATCATATTTGTGTACATTTTTTTTTTGTTTGATTTCTTTAATGTTCAGAACACATAAAATAGATGACTACAGCTTATATCATCAGGAGATACAATACTGGTTTGAATGAAAACAGTTCTCTTGGCAGAATATTTTGTGCCAATGCAACAAGGTTCTCCTGCTTTATTTGATGTTAGAAGTTCTTAGGTTTATTGCTAAAGACAAGAACTTTGTACATGGGTTTATCATTAAACACAGCAAAAACTAGGATGATTTGAAACTGTCAAAGCCAGACCCACACACAGATTCTTGATTCTTTACAATGTCTCGGAGTTAACTAGGCTTTTCAAGCTGGCAAAGACTGCAATATCTGCATATCTCTCTGACCTTTTCTTGCCGGCCTCATTCTTGACTCTTTCTATTTGTAAAGACAATCGGTTTAGACATTTAGTTGAAACAGAACAAAGCTCAGAATCAATTCTGTTCGTCTTCATTGATAGGCTGCACTGTATATATATATTGTCAACTACATGGGAGAAAATTAAAGCTCAGGATCAATGGCTCCTAGCAGGTGGCTGATTCTGAGTCTGATTGTGGCTGTCTTAGCTCAAGTGAATTGCATTGATATCTATTACCAGTGGAGAGTTTCCTTAGACTACTTTCTGGATCCTCTTGGAGGTTCTAAGCCTGTAAGTTAATTTTGATCAAATTAGTTATATCTCGTTTACTTGAACACCACAATCACTGTTCTAAAATTTGCAGGTGATCACCATCAATGGGATGTTTCCAGGCCCTCTGATCAATTCCACAACTAATGATGTTGTTCATGTCAACGTCTTCAACGATATGAAGGAGCCTCTGCTCATAACATGGTACGTTTTATGTGGAATTGGTCTCGAGATCTCCCTAACGAACATTAATTGCAGCTAACTTTGTACTAGGATGTTTCTGATATCATGGTTTTTGAAGGAATGGGATACAGCAGAGGCTAAACTCATGGCAGGATGGAGTATCTGGAACCAATTGCCCCATTGAGCCTGCCACAAACTGGACTTATGTTTTCCAGACTAAAGATCAGATTGGGACTTACACCTATTTCCCTTCCATCCTTCTGCAGAAGGTGGCTGGAGGATATGGCTCGATTCGTGTCAACAACCGCGATGTCATACTTGTCCCCTTCCCGAAACCAGAAGCCGAGTTTGACCTTCTCATCGGGGACTGGTTCCGAGATGATCACAAGGTAACTATGCCCGCGTCACTACTGGAAATTATGGAATTTCCGACCACCTGAAAGTGATCTTAAATCAAGTCAAAAGCCTTGTTCCGACCACTTTTAGTATCGAGAAAAATCTTTATTGTTATTTCCGATCACTTTTTGCTTTCAACTCAATTTAAGATCAGGTGGTCGAAAATTTCATAATTTCCAACAGTGTGTGCACACACAAGAATACTCTTTGTGTGTAGTTGCAGTTTCATCTGTCTGCATTTTCTGGTGCCTCACAGCTTCTTAGGATTTACTCAAGATTCAAGTCCTACGCCTCTTACCTTGACGAGCCTGACGCGATTCTGATCAATGGCAAGGCGCCTGCAAACCCCGAGTCTTTCACTGTCACTAAAGGTACAAAAAGATAGATGCAGCAGAAACACACACTACGAAAATTATGGAATTTCCGACCACCTGAAAGTAATCTTAAATAAGTTAAAAGCTTACCACTTTTGGTATCTGGAAAAGTTTGTGTTTCTATTTCCGACCACTTTTTACTTTCGACTTGATTTAAGATCAGTTTCAGGTGGTCGGAAATTCTATCTTTGAACTTCTAATAAAGGAATTTTGCCTGAATTTCTATTTTGGGGGTGATGATTATATTGCAGGGAAGACATATCGGTTAAGGATATCAAACGTTGGAAGTGTGTTCAGCTTCAATGTCAGAATCCAGAACCATAAAATGGTGGTGGTGGAAACAGAAGGCTCTTACACCAACCAGATAACGTTAGACTCCCTGGACGTGCACGTTGGACAGTCATACTCAGTTCTTGTTTCTGCAGATCAAGACGATGAAGATTACTACATTGTCGCTGCTCCCAAGCTTCACGAAGCCAACGAAACCAGCCCTCTCGTCGCCAAAGGGATACTGCATTACGCCGGTTCCGTCGCTGCAAAGCCCGCCGGACCTTTGCCGGAAGGCCCTGACCCCTTTGATCTCCAGTTTTCAATCAACCAAGCAAAATCTATCAGGTAATTAAGCATTATATTAGTTTCCATTATATATACCCAGTTTGGTAAAACAATGGAAGGCCAATTTTGGCTTATTTGACCCTATTAATTGTTTGATTTAGTTAAAATATTAATTTTTTGAGAACAGTATTTATAACAAACATCTATAAGTTAACAACTAATTTACCAAACATTTTTTTATAGTCAGCTATTGTTATCAACTATTTATACCTTCTAATTAACCCAATCAGCTAACAACCCATTTTACCAAAGAAGGCCTATAATCACAAGATGAAGATGTTAATTAATTAAGTGATGATGAATATATATATATATATATATATATATATATATATATATATATATATATATAGGTGGAACTTGACAGCCGGAGCGGCGAGGCCTAATCCACAAGGGACGTTCAACGTCACCAATATTACACTGTCGCAGACCTTCGTCCTCCATGGCTCCAAGGGCGAAATCCGAGGAACCCCGCGCTACCTAGTCAACAACGTCTCGTATCGAACACCAGACACCCCATTGAAGCTCGCCGATTACTTCGTCAATGGCGCCGGCGTCTACGAACTCGACGACTTCCCAACTCACTCCGTCAAAGACGCTGCAGATTACGGCGTCTCCATCGTCTCCGGCACCCATAAAGGCTGGCTGGAAATCGTCTTCCAGAATCACCTCGCCGTCATGGATTCTTGGCACTTAGATGGCTTTGGCATGCACGTCGTAGGGTAATTAAGCTTATTATCTTATATCTTGAATTGAATAATCATACTAGGTTGTATATATTAATAATTTTGCTGATCGAAATATAGATATGGAGACGGAGAATGGACGCCGGCGGCGCGTGAGACGTACAATGTGTATGATCCGGTGGTCCGGTCGACGGTGCAAGTGTACCCGGGAGGATGGACGGCGGTGTATGTGTTCCTGGACAATCCAGGAATGTGGAACTTGAGATCACAACATGTTAAACATTGGTACCTGGGACAACAACTCTACATCAGAGTTCACGACGATGATCCTAATCCGGCCAAGGAGAAGCCACCGCCGTCCAACCTCCTCCTATGTGGTTAGCTCCGATCCGTTTACCTTTAATTTCTTAAAATTTGAATCAACTTAATTATTTCTTTCTATCTAATTTTTCGGTCACAATACTCCTTTTTTGGCAGGCATGTTTGCAACTTCACCTTCACCCGCTCCCGCTCCTCAAGCAGGAGGGTGATTACATATTTTAGTTAAAAAAATTAGCATATAATTTTATCATTGTGTTATAAATGTTCTCGATAATTTATAAATAATATTCACTTTATTCAGTGTATCAACTATCAAAGATGATAATTTTATAAATCTTTATTCTTCCTTGATCAACATCAAGATCAAGTTTCATGTAATGTATCATGGTTGAAAACTTTATTAATTTATTACATTTTATTGGTATCATGGTTGAAAATTAAGCTTTGTATATTTTTTTGGTTGGTCGGATAGAAATGGATGGAGATAGCGAAATTTTGGTGTATAAATATAGGAGTTTAATTTTCAACTTCAAATCAATGTTACGTTCCGTATAATCATGTTTGATGAATTACTACGTAAGTAACTATATATGTACGCTAAAATTTGAAAATGACAATTAAGGCTAATTAACGATACTGGCAGGTAGTGCCAAATATAAACTGCGTACACGCTAATACGCTTAATCTAATAATCTTATACGGAGTTTTTTTTTATTTTTTTTTATTTTTATTATCTGATAGTATACACTAAGTAAATCATGCTAATAATCTTGACCCTGTTTGGTAAAATAATTAGCTTATCAACTAATTTTGGTTTATTTGATCACTATTAATTGTTTGACTTAATGGTGTGGTGGCGGTGGTTGTAGTGGTGGTGGTGGCGACCACGACAACGATGGTTCGTGGTAGTGGTGGTGTGGTGACAATGGTGGTGGTAGTGGTGTGGGGTTGGGTGTGGATGTTATAAAATGACTTTCCAAAAAAAAAGATGAGAAATTATTTTCAAAGAAAATGAAAGTATTTTCTTTTGACCAAACAATCATTTTCGATTATTTGATTCACATTTTTCACTCTTTACCAAACATTTGGAAACTTGAAAAATGATACCCATTTTTCACATTTCCAAACACATCATATATGTTTAACCATGATGATAAGAATGTAAATTTATTTTCTTTTCAAAAAAAAAAAAAAAGAAGAAAAAGAATATGGTGTTTGTATAATTCTGGGTTAACAATCAAGCTTAAAAGTCCCACATTGAGGAACACTCTACCAACTAAAAATGACTACATCAAGAGTAAGTGATGAGCTATTTTCCCATAACTTAAAAGACTAAAAACTGTCATTTTTTCTATTTATAAATTCAAAAGCTGCATAAATATAAATGACAAGAAATTATTATAAAGAAAATATCTATGCAATTAATTAATACATGAAATTTAACACAAAATATCTATACGCTTTATAATGTTAACGTTCGGAGTAATTAACTTTTTAAGTCATAATATCACTGATTTTTTAAATCTTAAAAAAAAAAGAATTAAGATAAAAACCATTAAATTAAATTTCAAAATTAAAGAAAAAACCGAAAAATTTTGGGTGTTTAAAAATGTTTTGAATAGTTCTAACGATTTATTATCAGTTATTTTACTCATAATAATAAATTACCATTGTATAAATCAGAAGGTTACGAAAAGGATGAAGACAATAAACTTGTTGCCTAGCCAGTATCGTTCCAGCCTATAGTTAATATCAAGAAACGCCGTTTAAACTATGCTTAAACAACAATGATAAAAATATAATAAATTTTTTAAAATTATAATCGATACTTATACAATAATGGTAAAAACTAAAAAGACACAAAACACTAACTAGGTTGGTTAAATTATTTACTTGATTATTATTAGGTTCCAAGTTTGACTACCAGAACAACTTGTTGACTTAGTTTGGGTCGATATTAGGCTAGTTTATTACATTGTTGTCCTTTAATATGCTAGAGTCATAGGGCAAAATTTACATAGTGCACAGCCAAGATCGGATGATATCTACAAGTTTCTTTTGTCACTTAAAAAATACAAAAAAATCTGTAGTTGTCCAGCTAACTGTTCACTCAACTAGATTAAGGTGGCAGGCCTTGAGAATTTCAAACTTAGTTTTCCAAGTAACGATGCTATAAATGGTGAAGATTGTTACATATATCTCTAAAGTTGATTCAATTCGCAGGCGGCAGCCAGTTTAGGCCAAGCTGTCTTTTACAAGAACAGATAATAAGAAGCGTTTCCGACAACCAAACAACGTCGTAACATCCATCTTTCTGAAGACCGTCTTGTCTGGTCTGTTTCGTATTCATCGATCTTCTTGATAGAGTGAAGGCCGGAGCTATCGGAGAATTTACAAACTAAAGTCGGCGCCGGCGCCGGAAAATGAAGGTGGTGGCAAGCTTCATCTCCTCCTCAGTTCCTCGTCTTCTTTTTCTTCTTCTTCTTCTTCTGGGCATTGTTGCAGAGGGAGAGGACATTTTTCTGGATTGGCACGTCGCGCTTAACACCACCATCAAACCTGTTTCTGCGGATCAGCCGGTACACAACACACAATTTCGATTTTCTTCGTTAGTTTCTTGAAATTAATAAAAGTTTTTGGTTGAATCTATAGACAGTATGATTATGGTTATTATATATATAGGTGATTACTATCAATGATGAGTTCCCTGGACCTCTACTCAATGCCACAACCAATGACATGGTTCATGTTAATGTCTTCAACCACATGGATTCTGAGCCACTTCTAATTACTTGGTAATTTACCTTAACCTTCCCATCAGTTTATTGTTTATTTTCAAATTACAATTTGCATTTGCATTAAATGTCCGCTTACAAATTGACTTAAACTACTTTTTTATATATATTTTTTGTCTTATTAATTAAAGATTAAGCCATTAAAGTATTCAATCAAATAATGTCAGAAGAAAAGTTTTAGAGAAGAACATCACTAATTTATAAATTATGATGACATTGGGCCGGGCCTGCAGGAATGGAATACAACAAAGGCTAAATTCATGGCAGGATGGAGTGTCGGGCACAAACTGTCCGATCCAACCCGGAAAGAATTGGACTTATGTCTTTCAAATCAAGGATCAGATTGGGAGCTTCTTCTATTTTCCCTCCATCAACTTTCAAAAGGCGGGCGGTGGGTTCGGGCCCATTCGGATCAACAATCGAGCTTTCATTAGTTTGCCGTTCCCTAAACCAGATGCCGAATATGATCTCCTCATTGGGGATTGGTATAACCAAAGTTTCCAGGTATCTATAAATTTTTATAACGCCAAACATTGTGAATATGATTCCTTATCCGTTTTTATTATTTTATTTTTAACTTGTGATATAAGTTAATGGTTGAAATAATGAATGGAGATAAAGCTTGCTAGAATGTCTAGTTAGCTGTAAGATTAGGAGTTCAAACCCCAGTATGATTATTAGACTCCTTTGTGGTGGACAACAGTTGCGTGCAACATACGGAACATGTTTCACTAGTGCACTTCTCGTGAATTAACCGTTATTATGAAAGATATATTATATATATCTAATGAAAAAATTTAATCTTTTAACTTTACTATAACAAGTGTGGCATTGATAACATTTCTTATTTTGTTGTGCCAAATGATAGACAATTCGGAGGGAATTGGATTTGCCAGAGACAAAACCACCAAATATGATACTTATGAATGGCAAAGGATCATACCTGGACTCAAAAGCAAAAACTCATGAATCCTTCACAGTCACAAAAGGTATTGCACACATTATATTTTCCAACAAAGTAATTGCTAACCTAAGATGCAATTAAGTGTATGTTTTATGATTTATCGTTGCTCTCACCCTGAGAAGCCCTTTACTTCTCGGGTTCATACTTCAGCCTATAGAATTATAAAGTTGGGGGTAAATCACGGTGATTAAGTAGCTTTTTAGATTGATTTGTTGTTGCTATTCTGCAGGTAAAACCTATAGGTTTAGGATTTCAAATGTGGGAACAACATGGAGTGTGAACTTCAGGATTCAAAATCATAGAATGGATGTGGTTGAGACAGAAGGATCCTACGTTAACAAATTAATGGTTGATTCTCTTGATGTTCATGTTGGCCAATCATACTCCGTTATCGTCACGGCAGACCAAAACGTTGGCGATTATTATATCGTGGGCAGTGCAAAATTAGTTAACGTCACGAGTAACAGCTCTCTTGTTTCCGTTGGTGTTCTACACTACCACAACTCAACTACCCATCCTAACGGGTCGCTACCTGTCGGACCCGACCCGTTTGACATCAACTCCTCCGTCACCCAAGCTAGATTAATCACGTAAATAATGTTACACTAATTTTTCGAGTGACAAAAACCAAAATGTTACACTGATTTGATTTAACAAAAATATAATGTTTGTTTGTACAGGTGGAATCTGACGGCGGGGGCAGCTAGGCCTAACCCACAAGGATCGTTCAATGTATCAAACGTGACGTTATCACAGAGCTTTATTCTTCTTGGATCCACGTCCAAGATCCATTCTCGTGTAAGATACACCGTTAACAACGTCTCATACCTCACCCCCGATACACCGTTAAAGTTGGCGGATTACGCCTTGAACGGCGGCTCCGGCGTGTTTGAGCTGGATAAATATCCGGCCAACACTAGCCTGTCCAAGGCGGAGAACGGAACCTTTGTGGTTTCTGGCACACACAAAGGATGGCTAGAAATTGTGTTTAAGAATGATTTGGACAATGCCATGGACTCGTGGCATTTGGATGGATACGGGTTCTATGTTGTTGGGTGAGTATATTATATTATTTATGTGATAGCCCTTAGTTAGTATCTAAGTTAAGTTGTCCATAGTTAATCGACTCAAACTCAAACTAAGAAGCTCATAGGCAACTTCTATGGAGAGCTAAACTTAAAACATTGTGGTTATCTAACTAACTGTTCAACCAATTTAGTTGGGGTCACTACAATATAATTGTTTACTAGTAACCCTTTTTATTATCATTTCATATACAGGATAGGTTTTGGGGAGTGGTCACCAGAATCGCGACAAACATATAACCGTTATGATCCAGTTGTTCGTTCTACTGTTCAGGTATTCATTCTTATTTTCAAAAGGTCGAACCCCAACCCTAAGGGCCTCCACACCTCGACCCGACAGAACATCTGAGAGGATGTAAATCATGTAACTCAACTGAACATAAACCACAGAGGCTAGACTTCTACTGCTCACAAGAAGCCCCCTCACTTTGAGAGGTTGCTCCCACACTGTGAAACTCGATCCCTAATCATTCTTTCCAAACCTCATCTCTATGACCAGTTGAGTTGTCCATGCGGGCTGATATTCATCAGATTAATGATAACATGTGACGTTAGTAGCAGAAAGGTTGTTAATTAATATTATGATGATGCAGGTGTACCCTAAAGGATGGACAGCAGTTTATGTATACTTAGCGAATCCAGGGATGTGGAATTTGAGGTCACAACATTTGAAGAAATGGTACCTGGGCCAAGAGCTCTACATTAGAGTATATGATCCTGATCCCAACCCTGCCAAAGAGAAACCTCCACCCCAAAATCTACTTTATTGTGGTCAGTTTAATTTTCAATGCATTTTCATTTGGAAAGCTTTAAACAAATTTATTTAACTTAAATTAATTATTTTTTTACACTTTAATTTCTCGCCAGGAAAAGTACAACCACCACCATCTCCACCTCCGCCTCAAACACCACCACCAAATCCAAATATAGTGCCGCCGCCGGCACCCGTGCCAGCCAGTGCAACAATGTCACAAATGCGATGGTAATTAATAATCTACTAATTGATATTTTCTTAACTCAAAAATTGTTAAATAACTAATCTAATTGTATTTTCCATGGCGACAGGTTTAACATTGGCGTAATACTTGTTCTCTTTATACTTTAAATGGAGGTGGAGATATCAGATATATGGATATATAGTCTGAGTTTAATTAGAATCTTGTTGTAACCAAGTCATGATCAACTTGACTGGGATTACCCATCTTCATCTAAAGCTATCATAGGACATTGTTATGACAATCATGGGTTAATGCGGTCCATCTTCCGATTGTAAAACTATACATTTTAATGTTATTTTACATATTGTATGCCCAATGATACAGATGATTATAGGTATGGTAATGGTAATGCATGCTAATATGTTGCAATAATATAATATTAAATATATTGAAGTACAAATGTTTCATTTGATCTAAATTTTAATTTCATAGGAGACAATAAACCAAACTAAGTTTTGTAAAAGATTACACGTTCGATTCCTATCAGAACAGCCTATTAGCCTTCCAGACAACCTAGACTGGTTTACATTTTTGTGATTCTTTGACTATCAGACTCATAAGACAAGGTTTACATAGTACATAATTTATACAATTAAGTAGAAGAAGAAGTGAAGAAAAGAAAAGATCAGAAATGGATGGTGAGGTCAAAGAGTGATCTTGTTGGAGAATGTTATCTCCGTGTAATCGATTTCATCACCAGCAGCATCTTCTGCGAACTTGGCAAGCTTAAGAAGACTGCCAGTGGCAAGAATGTCCTTAGGGCTGATGTCATGCAACGCCCTGGCGTAAAGACACCGGCATGCCGCCCGTGCGGCCTCCTGCAACTCCTTTTTCTGGTGATTGGCCATCATACAATGCCCTAAGATCCTTAACGTCGGATGTAGAATCTCCCGTGAAAGATTTATCCTCCCTTTCTTTCTCTCTTCCTTGCTGGAGATTGATGACCCCGCCGCCGCCGGTGCCGTGCTGTCTCCGATGAGTAGGTTATTGTTTTTTCCGGTTTGGGTGGTTTCGCTGGGATCGCAGCCTTTTTCGCCGGCCCAGATTTTGCAGAACTCGCAGAAATCGAGCTTGGATTGGAGGGGGATCTGGGAGATTTTGCTGTAGAATAATTCTAAGGCGACGCCGACGATTCTCGCCCGTTTGGTCGACCGGACGCTGCTGAAGGGCTCTAAGCTGGAGGATATGACGGCCAATGCTAACTCCGTGGAGCTGCTCTTAGCGGTCTGTTTGGTTTCGTGGTAAATGCTTGAATGCGAGAGGTCGGGGATAGTGACGGTGACGGCTTGGCCGTTACGGGCGACGGTTTCGTGGGCGTATAGGGCTAAGAGGATGGCTTCGAATCCCGCGAGGGGCTTGTGGAGGGCGACGCGGGAGAGGTAGACGCCGGCGATGATGGGGAGGAAGCGGAGGACGACGAGGTGGAGATCGGGCTCTGAGGAGTGGAAGGTGTCGTAGAGCCAGCGGCAGAGGCTGTTGTCGCCGGCGCTGGAGTCCGGCTGCCGGAGGAGGTCGGAGATTTGGGATGCGATCTCGGAGTCATGGAGGAGGGAGAACGCCGGCGTCTCGGAGGAGGTGAGTGACGACGGGACGCGGCGGACGATGGAGGCGAGGGCTTTGATGGCGGTGTTTGCCTTGGTGTAGGAATCGGACCATGAAATATGTTGCTTAGCGGGGGCGGGGGCAGCGCCTTCTGAGTCAAAATCGGTGGACATTTGCGGCGGAGGTGGGTGGCGCGTGGAGGTTGCAGAGTTACCGATGTAAATGGAAAATTAGGTGACGAGGAACGTAGTAAAAATAGTTTTTACTTGTGAATGGAGAAAATTCAGGAGGAGTAAATGGTGGATCTTTCAACAGCAGAGTAATTTTTATTTTTATTTTCAAAATCCTATTTTCCTCTTCTTCTTCTTATTTTTTTTTTAAAAAATAAAAATTAATTTTGTAACTACCACGTCATCTAATCAATCCGTCAACAGGTCACTTTAGTTCAATTGTTTGAATTTGTGCGGTTCATAGATCTGATTGTAGTCTTTTTGAGTTGGATGATCTAATTGCTGTTTGATGTGTAGTTCAATGACCTATTTTACACTTATTCTTTAATTTAATTAAGCGTTGAAATTGGTACTCGTATATAGAGTAAATACCCAAAATGGTCCCTCGACTATAGCTAAATTCACAAATTGGTCTTCGACTTTCAATTTCAGCCAATTAAGTCCTTAACTTTGTAATTTTAACACAATTTGGTCCTCTATCTATTTGACCATTTGTTGATTGTGATTTTTGAGGATATATATGTAATTTCATGGTCCATCATCGGTTTTTTAAGGTTCCGGTTGCATTTCCAAACCGCACTGTTACATTCGAATCCACTGCCGAAAGCAATCTATCAAATCCGGTCGCTTTTCTTCATCCTCCCTTTGGATTCAATGTAGTTGAGTTCGTACCAGAGCGAAGAAGACGACGTGTTTCCGAACCGGTGCAACGTCATCCTGGAGGCCTCCACGTGCTCCGACGAGAGCTGAAGGTTCTTCTGGAGATCGTCGATCGCGGTCAACAAACGGTCAAATAGATGGAGAATCGAATCGTGTCAAAATTACAAAGTTAAGGACTTAATTGGTTGAAATTGAAAGTCGAAAACTAATTTATTATGAATTTAGCTATAGTCGGGGGACCATTTTGGGTATTTACTCTTGTATATATAATATATGACATCCCCAATTTTGTTAAATGAATATTTGTATTTGGGCTTGTGTGTCTTTGCTTGCATGGATTGGACCATCCACAATTTAATGAAACAAAGAGGATATTGCCGGCCGGCCGGCCGGCCTATTCACTCCTCCCCGCCTATCATACTTTAACTTCAAGCTTTTGTCCCACAATTTCAAACTTAATAGTTCAACTAACTCTACTCTGTCCCCTTTATTTTCATTCTCTTATGGACTTAGACATTCAAGACAAATCAAGGATAATTGTTAAAAAAAAAATTTGAGAACACGAAGATATAAATTAGTGTAAGTTACTCATAGTTGACATACTCAAATCAAGAAGAATAGCTCTCGTGGGAAGTCAAATTTAGAACCTTGTGGTTACCAATTTACAACTAATTAAGAGATTATGTGACAATGAGAAACTTAAGTGATTCATATACTATACATAACAAAACAAAGTTACAACTTTTTTGATAATTAAGTTTCTCCCTTTAGTATAATCAAGATTTGAAAATGTGTCATATCATATAATTAGGGAATACATATTTAATATTTTGGGTATATAATTTAAGACATGGATATCACTCTTGTGATTGGACTAGTATATCAAGAACTATATTACTTGATCAAGAAATGTATTCCCATACAGATATTTTGAGTTATAGCCACCATTTCATCCAATGAGACTATTGGAGGGTTTCCTTTTGAAGCAATAACAATTTTTTTTTAAATAATTAAAAATTGCATGATAATGAAATAAAAGTAGTTCATGATGAATTGGATGCTATTTTAATGGCAGACAGAGGCCATGCATGGTAGGTGCACTTTGATGGAAAAGTAGGATATCTGGAATCTCTAAGATTGCTTCTTCAACTCATATTTATGCATAATCAACTTCACTTTAACATGATTGTGACCCTAAAGCAAAGGATAATTACAAATATTACTAACCACAACTTTACTTCCATTCCATTATTGTATTAAATTACACAATTCTCCCTGCTCAATCATCACCATTTTTTATTTATGAGAAAGTCCGTAGTTACTATTATCCAAAGATACGTTCTGGATGAAGCTCACTTTGTGACTCTAAAAATCGGACTACAATAAGATTTGTCTTAAATCGACTCAAACCAAATCAAATGTCTGACTAACTTCACTCAATAATCAATTCATCACCACCTATACCTCTACAACTCTGCATAATCTCTCGATTAAGATACACTTGTACAACAATCATCCTTATAAGGCTATAATCTATAAATTTTTTCACCATACTTATACATTATACAATAAGATTAAGTTTATTAGGACATCTTATTAGACGAATGTTAAGATGTCCTGATAAATTGTTATATGTTAAGATTATGAGTTTTGAATAATTTTTCATCGTTCTCAAAATTATTAATTGAAGTAGTTGTGTTGCACTCTAAGTTTTTCATTCAATTAAATTAAATAATAAGAGGTAAGAAAAAGAATTTGTTAAATGAAAGGATTGAATTGATTTCCAAAACCATAGTATTAGTGGGATTCATGGTTGAAGGAGAAACAAATCAAAAGGCCATTCATAATTAGGCCTTCTTAAGCTCTGTCTCTCTCCTAAAATTAGTAATGAAGGATGCTTAGTTTCTAAGGCAAACCAGTACTAATTAATCCTAAACAATCTCTTTTCTTTTTGGTTTTTTTTTTTTTTTTTTTTTTTTTTGGTTCTTCCTAATTGGATGCATGCATGATACCATCCAGGCCATGTCATTCTGAGTAACTTTCCCAGAATGTTCAATTCTTAACAGTATGACAAGGATGGATATATGTATGCTTTCTGGTTAATATATATATATATATATATATATATATATATATATATATATATATATATATATATAGTAATGATAATGGAGGCGAATTGATGCCCGCGCCGCCGCTAGCTAGCAGAGATGATGTTGGTGGTCATCAATGGCGATATGTGGTTAAGGGCTTTTTGGTACTTTGAGGGAGATGGAGAGTCGCACGCGCCATTTGCCGGCCTCTTCTTGCTGAAATAACCCATGCCGCCGGTGGCGGCGGCGGAGTCCTGGAGGAGCAGCCGCTGCTGCGTGGGGGTGGAGGAAGCGGAGGGGGAAATTGTGACCGGCGGGATGTCGACGGAGTTGAGCTGAGGCGGCGGGTGTTGCCACTCCGGGAGAGGGCCGGCGAGGAGGAGCGTTTGGAGTAACGGCCCCGCTTCCATCACCGCCTGCAAGAATTTCCCCTTCTCCGGCAACGGCATTTTCGCCGCGATTTTATCCGTCACGTCAACACCCACAAACTTCGGAGTAATCGCCCCCGTCGCAATCGGCGGCGGCGTTGACGAGCGTTGACCCGGAGCAACATTAACAACAACGTTGTAGTTGTGGTTGTTGTTTTCCTCAGAATCCGACGACTGATCTTCATTGCTCGCCGCCGTGGTCGTGGCGCTAGAAGGCGGCCGGGCCTCCACAATGCCGCCGCGCGGTTGCCTCTGAATCTGCAGATTCTGCCGGAGAAGCTGTTTCTCTAATCCTAACCTCCGGCATTCCTCCATAGCCTCATCCCTCTCCTTCATAATCCTCCCCAGAAGATTCCTGAGCCGCACGATTTCTTGATCCTTCTTCGCAATCTCATCACGAGCACAAACAACTGTGTTCTCCAACTCCAACGTCGTATACAACAGAGAATGTTTCAGCTCCTCGATTCCCTGCACTCAAACCAACACATTTAACTTCAATTCTCATCAAAATCTCCAACAACAACAACATTAACAAAGATAGAATGAGTTAAAGTAGTTACCTCTTCTTGGAAAAAGTAAGGCAAGACAAGAGGGCTACATTGGTCTTCCATGTTAAGTGTGTAAACTAAGTAGTGTTTGGTTGAAAGAAGCTAAAGAAGAGAACACATACATCAAAGAGAAATGAATTAGGTATGACTTGTGAGGTATTGGTTACTCTCCCTACTTATAATGGGGTTTAAACTTTAAGGTGGGTTGCTTTCCCTTTTTTGATTAATAATTTTGTATTTTGATTTATGAGAAAGTCCGTAATTACTACTGACAATCATTATGCATGGATCATGATCCACCTTACAAGATAAATCACTGACATAATGTTTATTTGTAGTATAATAAAAATTTATTTTTAATACTTTGAATGTTTTTTTTTTGTCTGTACTGAAAGTTCATTTTTAAGTATACTACTTAAAAATAAACTTTTAATATACTAAAAATGAATATTAATATGTGGTATATAATCTAATTTGCTTGATATTGAAGATACATTATATTTTGGGTGAAGGGCGACTGGCTTGTGAACCTAGCTAGTCGACAAAGGACTACAAGGGATGAAATTAATCTAGGTTGTTCATAGTTAACGAGTTAATTAAACCAAGAAAATTGATAGATAGTTCTCAAAGTCAAATGTGAAATCTTATGATTATACTATTAAGTCATTATGATTATACTATTAAGTCAATTGTTTGATTAATTTGATTGGTTGCTAGTTAATTTTAGATTTTTTCCCTTATGGATAATGGAAAGGGTAGTATGGTTAATTAAGTTGGTGCAAGCTTTTTAGCAATAAAACTATATAAGATTCTTCATATTCGACGGGGGGCGGGGGTTGGGGGTGGAATGTGAACTGCTGGACTAAAGTTGACGGCCGTAACGTCGTCTGAAATAGTGAGTCCCAACTTGTGTAAATTAAAATAATTAATCGTAACGTTGACGCGCACGGTTGAGTAAATATAACAGCTATATATCCTTGTCTTCGGTCCTCCATAGTCGTTTTGCATTTATTTTGTTTTATTACTCCGCATTATCTATTTTATAAAAATTCTACAATATTAAAAATGTACTACTATTATAAATAGAAAAGAATAATGACATTTTTAAAAATAGAATGATAATTAATAATTAAAAAAATCTAATGCTTATTTATAATATTTTTTTTTTCAATATTTCAGAATTTTTCTTATTTTATTATGTTTGTAAATTAGAAAAAAAAAAAAAAACGTAATCAATGATATTTTGTTTTGTTTTTCTTTTTTCATTGGAAACTGATTAGACACCCATAAATAGTAAAACAATGACATCCCATGCTAAAAGAATGTACAAATTTTGCATAGTGAGTAAAAAAGTCTATTAATCAGATAGTTATCATGATTTATCCCTTAACATCCAATACAATCAACACAATTATTGGTCTCACGATAAATATGTATGAACTATAATAATATCAAATTTTACAAGAACTCAGTTCTATATTAATCGATGCTTAACTGCCTATTAGATATTAAATTCACAATTTAAAAAGAAAAGAAAACGAAATGTGTGTATATAAACTTATAAAGTAATGTTCACGCTTTTAGGTTGGGCAGATTCTTAATTATTTGATGAAATAATGAGTTAATCAACATTTTGGTCTCTCAATTGTTTTACAACTGTCAATGTAGTTCATAGTTTTTAATTTTAACTAATTTGATTACAAATTGTTTAAAGTTTTGTCAATTAAATCTTTTAGGAACTAAAATGGTGATTTTGAAAGTGCTTAATTAACAAAATTTTGAACAATTCGATGATTAAATTGGTTAAAATTAAAAATTATAAACTACATTAACAATTGATCTGGAAATAATTAAGGGATCAAAATGTTGATTTTCTCTAAAATAATGGATACCCTTTTTGTTTAAATTGAAACCTTTTTATGCATATTAACTATTAATGCATATATATATATATATATATATATATATATATATTGTGTAAAATATATGTTTAAAAATGATTAAGTCCTTCACACGTGATGAGTTTAGGCTTCTCCACCAGACCGGCCATGTCAATTGTGTCACAGGCAAGATCTAAAGAAATTATCTACAATATAATCAGATCATCAACTGCATTCTTTGGGGCCAATCAAAATATTCTTCTTAAGTCAGGAAAGGATGTATGATTGAGTGAAACATATATAATTCGATCTCATACAGTCATACTACAAGCTTACATGTTCGTCTTTTTATCAACACTTTCTTAATCCAGTCCAATGTATATATAGGATTTTCTTAATACGATTTACCTTTTCAGTGTAGTTTGTAGATAATAAAAAGAGAGAATATGTGGCTAGCTAACTCCCTCCCGGCCTTCAACAAATTTCTATTATTATATTTCTTCATCTTCTTCTCTCTTGCGTATATTATATTCACTTTATGACATTGTAAGCTATTACATGCACACGAGTAGAGTTCATCCCACACGCACCCTTGAATAGTGGATTTCCCTCGTCACTCAAAAAAAAAAAAATATTTTTCTTAAAATCAAGATTATCTTATAATATAGTAAATCAACCAATTATATAACTCATCCATAAAAATGTGAAGAAATTTTATTTCTAAAAAAAATCTCAAAGTGTAGCTTGCAAATCTTGAATCTTGAGATATGTTTGGACTATAGTTAACTAATTAATTAAATATACCAACATCTATTATGTATATATAAGTATATAACTATATATGCACCCAACAACTAGTTTGCAAATGTTGAATTTCTGAGTGTTTCTTGGTTTGAGGCCACAAGACATTTCTTAGATTCACACCTAAGTGCTAAGAACACCTGTGAGTGCAACAGTGAGGTTGAATTTAAATTCATTTATATGTATTGATATTGTGAGTGTTTTTTTTTTTTTCTTATATATAAAAAAATATAGCTAATGACTATTTAATTGTAATCAAATCAAACCCACACATTAAACTAAACAGTTTGGTCAGAGTAAAAGACATATAGCTTATTAGTAAATGGTAATGGTGAAATGATTGTACACCATTGATCCAAAGACTTTTTGCCCTTTCCATGTATATGCTATTGTTTTCCTTTTTGACTCCATAAAAGATATATAGAAATATATATATATATATATATATATATATATATATATACACGCTTGCGAGTTGAATAGATGCACGACTGCCCGAATGCACCCCAACTACTCAGCTTCGTCAAAGGTCTCCATCCTGTGTAAGTTTTTCTCTAATAATATATATTATTTATTAGAGCCTTAATTAAGTGGTGCAAGTTGACTAGACTTATTAAGTGGTCTGGTTAGACTGAATAACTAGAAGTTGTTAGTCAACCAGACTCTGTGCCTAATATAATCCTGGACTGATGGGATACAGGATGATTGATGTTAGCACATTCAGTTACGGTACTCAGACTGCTCAGTAGATAACAGTACACCATCTAGGGTTCTGAGTCAGGTATGAGGCAAAACATGGCTAACGGTCTACCGTTATAGGCAACAGGAACATCAACTATGGCCAACAGGAACATCAACTATGGCTGGAGACTACATAGCTACGCTTCCGCTCTCATACGAGGTCAGATTTCTTGTATACTATGGTTCAATATACTAACATCCCGTCCTTCAGGAATGCCTGGAGTAGTTGTGGTGCATTCATGCAGTAGTTTACAAGTTCTCAATTAATGTATAGTTTTTAATCACACTTTATATATAATAATACTAAAATAGAATATCAAATACATTTTTAATATATTAAAAATACATTATTTATTATATTGAAGGTACCTTACATACATATATAATGTACTCTTAGTATGTTTAAAATATACATTTTATTGCATGCAACCCCAAAGTTCATAAGTTTGAAATTAATATATGGCATAGCTAGGCGGCCTAATATTTAAGATTGTTGATGTGCAAATTGAGGACTACGGAGACAAAAGATGCGTTATTCGTGGATTCATCGGATACTATCCAACAACACTCTCCAACTTAATTGACGTGAAGTAAGCTTAGTAACATTAAGATTATATTCTCGAATTATTAGTTCTCATCTTTTATTGATTACACACTTAATTCGATAGTATTTGGAAGAAAAAATCAATGTTCGAACTAAGATTGTGATTTTGGTCTTTAAAGGTCAATTGCATGTTGCTACATCTAGAGTTAGAAATCTCAAAGGTCTAAAAATTTTGATCCGTGGTGACTCTAAAATTGTAATTCAATTACTATTGTAGTTTACTAAATTCTTAAAAATTTGTAATATTAAATACTATGTACTAAATTTTTAATATAGTTTAAGATTTGTAGTAATCACCCACCTTAAATATTATTTTAATTGTAAATATATTTATGTTCATAATTTTATAATAGAAATTCACACATAATAATTATTAAATAACAAAAATTATATTATATATATATATATGAATAAACCTCATATAGGGCATATTTTTATAACATATTTTTCGTGCATCGCACGGGACAAATACTAGTTATATATAATAATACTAAAATAGATGAATCAGATTAACTTTCACATTTTACTTGAAAATTATTCCCACAAAAATAATCTTCTCCATATATATGTGTGGACATGGAAACGAAAATTACAAATAAAATTTAATTGATGTTAACAACTCTTATTTGTTTTATTTGCCGCACAATGAAAGTGACCCCTTTTGACTGTTACGGGGTACAAGATCAAAATGTCTTCTAAAAAGGCTGTATGTGTGAGAATTACCAGACAATCTTTAGAATTTCACTTGTTTATTGTTAGTCAATTTTTCATATAGAACTATGGTGCATAAATATTTTTTAAAATTACTTTGAAATGACTTTCTCTGTAGTTAGTATGCAATGTGATAATTAAACTAACATGATTTCATTTTCACGAATTATACTATAAAACCACACCCTATTCTTGGAATATTGTCCGAAGACCGATGGGAAGAGTCTTGATTTTAATACATTGTTGGCGAATGACAATATATAATTTGGTATAGTATTGTTAGTTTTGACAATAATATTGGTCAATTTCAACGAGTTGATTGAAAATAGTCACAATTTTTTGTTTAAATCGTCAAAGTTGAAATACTTGTTACCAATAAGAAAAAAAGTTTTTTTTTCCAACTAATTTTGAGTG